TTAATGAGCAAAGATTGTTGGAAAAATTTAAATCTCGTGGAACGTGGAAATTCGCTTCACATCGATATGTTCCAGAAACTCAGGTGGCTCTATTTAATTTGGAGTCACTGTACACGTTTACATCCCAGCACTTCTATTAACAAAGCTGTTTTCTTGTCTATCTAGGCCCTTATACGTTATAGATCGAAGAAGCGAATTTGATTATATGAAATTTACGCAAATAATTAAACCTTCGCTGCGAAACTTTATCTTATAACTTATAAATATAACTTATAACTATAAATTTGATACACAGAATTACTACATATATTGCCATTAATTAAGATGCAATCAGTATGCAATCTATTGTTAATAACATGGAACAGTCTTCCTCAAAATTTTCCACTTCACCTATAAAACCCTCGAAAACATTTAATTATGCTTTTCGATAGCGGGAGAATATTCTGATGTAGAACAACACGTCAAAATATGTATCTAAGCCATCTAACTTGGCAATAAAAGTCAAAATATATATGAAGAAAGTTCAACTATAAATTAAATACGATAAAACTCGTGCATTTATGTGTTAATAAATGTTTTAAACATCTTGATAGTGTTTAAAGAAAATTGTCACGCACAGTGTGCGAGTTTTCTGTCGGCTTTTCGGTTGACTTATGTCTTTTAATCATGAAAATTGAACACTTCAGAATTCACAAAACGAAACAACAATGAGGCTATGAGTAGAGTGGGGAAATTTCATATGATGGCATTTTCCATTGAGTTATTTCCTCTTGCTTTGGGGAGGGTGTAAAATACTACCGCATTCAAAAAGTGCCGTCTTTCTACCCGGGAAATATATCATGGATAGAGCATATTTTCTGTATAGACTGAAAAGGTGAAATATAAAGGTAGTTTTTTCTTTATATAAGAAGGGAAAAATATGACAATTTTGTCACGACTACTTCTTGATATATTTTATATCACTCCACATCCTTAATAGACTCTCTATTGAATGGAATATAATCAAAATGGATTTCTATATTGCTTGCCATTGTGTCAACATTCATTCCCCCCCTGAGTCATTAAAATTGTAGATAAATTCAGGTGGTTAAATAGAGTGAGTCAATAGAGATAGTGGACATTTCAAAAGGGTTGTCAGCAATTGTGGAAAATTCCGTCTGTCGTCGACCGTTTTGAGGGTGAGTTTACCACCCTCTAAATTCACCCGCAAACGCAATGAAAAAAGTCTTTTATCCTAACCATTCTAACACACATGTTTGATTAGTGATTTGGAACAAAGTGATAGATTAAGAAACGATATAATGTTGAGGGTTGTGCTCACCAAACACCATTCTATTTTACATTTCCCCTGATATATGTACTTCATCATTTTGTGTCAGGCAGAAGGAAGAAAGGTCGAATCATAAAGAAAGTTAGAAGAAAATCGAGTGATTGCACATAATTTCGTGGTTGAACACGCGATTTGGTCGTCAGCTTTGGGAGTTGCGATACATTTAACTTAAGGGTGATGACAACAAATATAAAATTGAGCAAATTCTCCATTTCTATCTTCTGGTTTAGACAATATTAGAAAATGTATTTAAAGAATTTTCGCCTCCACATTAACTTGTTCATTTTGTGAATCGAAAAAAAGACGAATGAAAAACTTTTTACGCAGAGAGGCCAAAGTAATTTTCCCAGGTAGAAAGAAGAAGAAAATTTCTCGTCTCTAAAGGTACAACGATTTTTTTTCATCGTCTTCCCTTCATCATTTAGCGTCCCCTTGACAATCTCCTTGGCACAAAACGTGGTGGAAAATTCTATAACATGCTGTACACCTTTGGTGAGCGTGTACCCGACAGGAAATTATTATTAAAAGTGAGTGTAAAGTTTAAAATTTTCGACTTGGCTAAAACTTTTTCTTACAATTTACCATCACCTTTCTTTTCACTCTCAGCCTTCGTGCGCCTCTTTTCATTCACACTGTAGTGGCAGAAAAGCTCTACCCAACGTCTTACTTCCTCCCCTTTCCCTCTACATTTTTCCAGGTTCCGTTCAAGTGCTCAAGTTCAACGAACACGGAATGTCAACGATCGCAAATTCCTTCAGGGCAGATCACTGACTTTTCCAACCCTTTGCCAATGTTTTTCACTTCAAATATTGAGACATACCTTTCTACTAATTACAAAATCCATCTGCTACACCGTCAAATGACAAAATATTTACACTCTCTGCAGTCGATGTGCACCCTACATATTGCCAGTCAGTATATGTTCGGAAAGTGTTGTCATCAGCACAAAACTTACGGAAATAGAGCAATCATTAAAATCACATAATTTACTCATTTGACATCCAGCAACTTATAATTTTCATAACAAACACATGTCCTGCTATAGAACTTTCATTCTACTTCTCGCACAATGTAATGTTTCAATAATGACACACCATCAGACATATTAATTTTGTATTGACTTTCCCTGCGCCATCACTAATATATCTATAATTTCCTATTACAGATTTTCTGTTCATCTTTCTCCCTCAGTTTGTTTCTTGTTCCCTTTTGCATTGTAAAAAAAGCGATGTAGGGTAAAAAAAACATTCGCGTGAGTTTAAAAGGTAAAATCAATGCTCCATTTTCGCGCAAAGAAGCATTTATTGGACACTAAAAATAGTGCAAATTCCTCGACGTTGTCTTAATCTGAAATATTAAGACCTTTTAAGTTTAGAACTTGAAACTTTTAAGCTCTCAAAATCATATTTGGATTGTAGACAAAGTTTGTAATGCCAGTGTTTTTCTTTCTCTCTTTTCAGGTACGTTTACTGCATTGAAGATTACTAGACACAGAATTGCGGAATGTTAAATTCATTGCTCTCCCTAAAATTCCCCCGTGTCTTCAATTAATACACACATGAAGCTACCTGATGAGAATACACATTGTAAGTGAAATGATGTGGTTTCATGTCTCTGAGAAAGTATGGGACATAAAAAAATTATTTTGCAAGCGATTAAGAATTGAAGTTTTGAAATTACGCAATTATTTATAAGCTGCAATAAAGCAGCTTTTGTAGGTGGCGAGAGATCCAAAAATAATCGCATTATAAACTATATTTTATGTTCAAAATGGGGCACAATTTAATGGAAAACAAGTGAATGAAAGTGTAAACTGCGTCCTGTGAGTTTTATGGTTAATGTGATTATAAATCAATGAAAATCCTATAATTGTCAAAGAGTTTTTCAGATTCATCCTCCAGCATGTACATTTTGATGTTTTCTATTCAAGTAGATTGTTTATTTCCCCCCTCATTGCCACAGTCCGACACTATTTCACTCTGACTCGTGCATCACCCTTATCGATTCGCATAGAATTCTTCACTAATGCCTCGCGCCACATATTTTTCCCCCGGCTCCCACTTAGAGATACTCCCAAATTTTATTCTTGTATCAGCTATTGTTATCCCAATTTATTATATCCCAGCTCTTGCGCTTCTGCCTCCGAAAAGCCCGAGCAAAGAGATTGTATAATTCGATTTATTCGACGGCACAATCTCGGAATTTAACTCACTCCTTCCGAGCATGAAAATGGAATGGGACGACCAGATAAGAGCGAACGAAGCTCCTCGAGTTTGACAAAAAAAAATCTACAAACATATTTCCACATTTTCTCCACTTTCGCCATTGGAGTAAAAATTGTGCTGCACTGTGGTTGGAAGGATAATAAATTTCAACGTCAAATTAGCACGTTTTCTCGCCCCTTCGCAAGTCCACCCGGTGCTTCTTTTGGGTCTTTTTTATCTTTTCTCTCTCTCTTAACTCGAGAATGCACTCAAAATTTATGAAGAAATCAAAATTCAATCTCATCCGATTTGAGGGAGGACAAAAGAAGCTGTCAAAGCCTCGTCACTAGAGATTTAAAGTACATGATGGAGGGAAAAAAGGGAGAGGAATGCTATAAAAATGGCATCTTATTGGGTAACACAAAACCCTCAAATGACAGAGGCGAATGACACTTTGAGTGGACAAACACACATAATGATCGGGTGGATAGGAAAGTCACCGGGGAAGATGGTGGGCCGTTAAGCATCGCCCACAGGCGCTCAGCATGAATCTTTCAAGAGGAGGTCACTAATTTTCCAATGGCCTCTTCGTGTGTGGGTGTCACACTTTCCCCATCAATTCACAATCACGTTCTCCTCATCTCCCAAGGAGTGGAGACTCAAATTCCCTCTCGAAATTACAATTGCCGGGAAGGAGAACACAAGTCTGTCATTGCTCGTACATATTTGAACGTGCCCCAAGTCGAGACGGTGGCGGAAGTGTCTGCCAGTGCAAAAAAATCTATAAACTTAGTAATTTTATATTTGTAGTTACAAACTTCCCAAAAACCGCCATATGTTTCCAAACTAGCTCTCGCCCAAAAGTTAAGGGTTTGCGAAAAGGCAACGAGGAGGAGAGAGAAATGTGAAATACCTTGGGAGAAGCACACACACTGAATTTACGAGTTTTAATCCAAATGCTTTCGCTCTAAAGCTCCTCACTTGTACTTCAGGCTCACCCCATCGTAAAAGTTCAATGTATTAAGTGCACGAGTGTTTGTGTCTATGAAATTGCACTTAAAAACGGAAGTTGATCTAGTAAAATTTTTAACTTGCTCTCGTTTTTTGCTGGAAAGCCACCAGTAAGTTGCATTGTAAGAATGAGAGGCAGTTTTTTTCAGTTCATGTGGAATTTAGCAGCACAAACCACTTTTTGACCATTATTTCTGTACACTGAATTGTAGCATCGCATGAGGAGAGTTGTTTAGTGAGAAGGATGAATAGAAATAACAATAATAAAAAAAAACAGTTATGCTCATCCTAGATTGAAAAGTGATTTGATGCCAAAATTCGCTATTCATTTTTATTTCAACCTAGAGTGATTAAAATTAAAAAAAAATGAGCAGAAATTTTTCGGCATCAAATAGAAGATTTTTTAGTTAAATCACTACGCTTTAATTGCTTGAAATACATTCATTCTAACTTACTGTTCAAAAGGTTTCGATGGTGTACCCGAAGTTCGATCGACAGTTTGATCGAGAAAGCGAATCTTGATATCCTGAGCGTACATGTTTTCAAAGAGGAAGTCTTTGAGGTACAAAACATGCGATGAGGCCTTGCGATCGAAGGGAAAACCGAGATTTACAGAGGAACTGTTTGGTTGGAATTCCTCTTTGGTCACCATCACGAAGAGATCGCACTCAAATCCAGCTGTATTTCCTTTCGGGATGAGGAGATTCTGTGGCCAACCGCGACCTGTGCAATTCATGTGTTTCTGACCTGCATTGATTTTGAATGAATTTGGAACGATGTGCTTCATGTAGTCAGCAATAACAGCCTCATTCGAGCGCCGAACAATTGTATTTTTCCCAGGACGCACTGTAAGGGAAAAGAACACTTAGCTATATTGTTATAACACGTATAATACCATTTTATACTAACATGAAACCTTGAAATAATCCATTGTAACGAAAAAGTCCCTTTGATCCTCGAAGAAGAAGCGAGTATTGTGCTCATCGTGCTTAGGTGCCAAGTAGATAACAACATATCCCGCACAATCCGCTCCAGTATTCTCCACATCGATCTTGTAACTGAAGGTCTTGTGTTGCAAATTCGTAGTTCTCACGTAAACTGGATCTGTTGGTGAGAAGTCCAATCCACCACTAATGTCGAAGTCACTCTTCTCCCAATAAGTGTGTAATTCGTTCTTCACAATTGCTTCTCTGTCAGACAAAATGAAGGTCTCGACGTGGGATATTTTGACGCCGGGATAGCAGAGTTGAGCGTGCGTGTATGGCTTCAAGTACTTCTTGTGGTGATTGCACATGTCCACAATCAGAGCGTACCAGCGATAGAACAAGGGATCGCGACAAGCTGTGGCAGGATCGGCAATAACTCCGAATCCCTCCAAGTTTCTGCCGTCAGGATCATGACAGAATCCGATGAACAAGTGGCCCATATTAGCCATATCTCCGTAATAAGCTTCGTGCGGAGAAAGAAGTGATGATTGAATCATGTTTCCGATACAATCGATACCAAGTTCATTTTGCAAATCAACTTTCGTGTTGTCATGCTGGAAAATTTAATTTAAGTTCATCACAGATCATTGGAGCATTCAATCATTGAAAATATTTCATTACTTACTGTGATAGCAAATCCTCGATCACAAGCTTCTAAGATTCGATCTCTCCATCGCGACAGTGCAGATAAGTCACAAACTAAATAGTCATCCTCGCGGTCCAAGTCACAGAGCGTTGAATTGGCGAATCTCGGTGGGTAATTGCGACTGGAAACTGTGGTATTCAATTTCGGGAAGTAAGGTTCTTCAATGGGCCTATCAAAGTTGTTCAGCCGCTTAACGCGATGCAGTCCATTGCAGAGTCTCTCGAAGTTGTATCGTGCCAGGATTTGCTGGTGAATGTAGTAGAAAATCTCGCCGCGACGTTTCTTGGCAACAACGCTGAAGGGTCCAGCGAATGGGACACTGAAGTTGAAGGTTGAATAGTAGAAATTGAGGCCCACGTCTTCGCGAAAGTACGCACAGCGCTGCTCCAGATCAAAAAGAGAGGCTGTAAAGTTCATTGGAATCTCGACAGGTACGCGATCTTCTTGGGGAACAAGTTGAACAGCACTTCGAGCGTCTTTGTGGAGTTTTCCGTCGAAGAACTTCTCAGGGAAGAGTCCCGGCGTGACTGGGAAAACATATTCGGTTGTCTCCTTGCGATTCATCACTGTGACAGTGAGTGCCCAATTGAAGAGGTAGGGATTAACCCTTTCATGGCAATAGACGATAGTAGACATGAACTCTTCAACTGTGGAGCAAGCCAGGAAAATCTCTATGAGCCTCACAGCGATCTTCCGGTGTAGCGGAATGTAAATGGAGAAGATCTCATCGAGCAAAATGGATTTCGTGAAATCCAGATTGGGAACAGTATTGCAGTCGGCAATCTTGATGACGACGGTATTTGGCAGAGGTTTGCTGTAATGCGTTAAGAGGTCCGTGCCGTATTTTTGGTACTTTTCATTCAGAAATTGTTCCGAGACTTGAAACTGGTAAACGCGATCACCGAAGACTTTCTTAGGCGTCAAGATTGTCTCCTTGGGACGCGTAAAGAGGGCATCGAGGCACTGGAAAAGCACACTGGATGACATGATGACGATATTATTCACTGTCACGACACGATGAAATTCAACTGACTGACCAAATTCAATCACAGTGGCATTTTTATAGTCATACTCATAGATGAAGAGAAACCACATGAGAAGATGAAAAGCCACAAATCAAAATATCTCGGTTTGATTTCGCTATACATTGTACTATACGTCAATTTGTTGCAAATTGCTAAAGTTCACTCACACACAACTTCTTATCGCACTATGGACTTGTACATAAAGAGGAGTTGGAAGAAAATTTTTAATAACATAAAAATCTCAAAGTTGCAAGAACTCAAACACACAGCGATAGAGATGTGCTCATAGTGTGATATTCTTGGGAAATTTTATGATCTCCTTTCAATAGATAATAATATATAAGGAAAAATTCAATAAGATTTCGTTCCATCGCCATCCGGGGTTTGGATGACTCTCGCGCAGACCATAAATTGAGATAAAGTCACAAGCACAATAGGAATTTTTATTGATACATTTCCATTCACTGGGAAAAATGCTTATCACTCCGCCGCAGTGGTATTTATGTATGTATATTCTGGTGCAATTACTCAATATAGAGAAGTGGGGTTTTTGGTATTTTTCCTCCAAGACCGCACAATTTCGAGATTTTTCCTTCGGCATCGCTGAGAGAAATGAGAATATAAAAATCTTTTACAGCACTATATGGAGTGGGTCTCATCACTTTTCTTTTGGCGGATAAACCACTCTATTTTATTTGTCTGTTTTCGCAAGATTTATTTCTGAGATGGATATTTTTCTCAGCAAATTTCCTGACATACATTGATCGTCTTGTTTCATCGGCTGGATTTATTAATTTAGATAAAATTGACGTTATATCAATCCCTGGGAGGTAAAATACAATATCTATTAAGTCATCAAGTTTTCTTATTGGCGACAAAATCAAAACTGATTGTATATTCTATCTATACCTATACTGTAAAGAACTTCTACAGCACAATATGAACTTTCATCAAAATTATTTTGCCATCCATTATATATTTCTCATATTCTTATTTAAGAGCAGCTCTTATGCAATCATTATTCTCACACCCTGAGACGTAAAAGCTTGTGGTGACGTGAAAAGCGAGAAGTGAATCCTTGAGAAGATGAAAAAAAAGTCGTTATAAGTGATCAAAGCTTTTTGTCTCATCACATTCTTTTGTGCTTCCAGAGTCATGAGCAAAACATAAAAAGCCTTCCAAAAGGAAAGTAAGAAATAAGACTTCTCTGCACAGAAAAAAGCACAAAACCGCTTTTCCCTTCTTCAAATTAACAACTAAAAAATCGACTTGTGTTAAAATTCTTCTTGACGTGAATGACGGTGGAAAAAATGTTTCACGATAAATTCTAGAGAGCTTTTTCAAATATTAATGAAAAGAGAATACAACGATGGCGCATTTGGAGCTTTTCACCTAAGCTTACACACTATTAACGACCTTTTATTGTACTCTATGGAGAACTTAAACAATATGACGGAATATTCCTGCGAAAATGATGACCTTTTATGCTTGTGCCTTCGCATAGACAACAAAAGTTTACACACACTCATTGGCAGAGGCTTTTTGTTTCTTGGCATTCCAGACGACGAAGGATAATAACGTTTTCATTCTGTCTGTGCCTTTCAACCCTCGAGCATGGCTTTATAGTATTTAGACATACCATACACAATATTCATATATTTGCATGTGACTTTTAGCAGAAAATTAACATTTGTCTAATATGTGGATGATGGAGGCATTTTCCCCATTTACACCATTATCGTCTCCATAAAAACCCTTTTTTCACTCTCTCCATCTCGGCAAATATTAATTAAATTTTATGGTATTTGTCTCTATTTCATATTTTAGCGAGAAAAATGGGCAAAGTTCTTCTTGACTTTTGCGTCACACAAAAAGTGCCCGTTCGAGAGCTTTCGGGTATAGCTTTTGGCCTCTGGTTGGACAACATCCAACATTGCCAAATGTCTTTCAGTGGGTTATTTCGCCAACGTACGAATTTTACGAGGGCAAACCGGATTTTTTTACGGTTCACGCGTAAAAATGTGAAAAATGTAATTAAGTTGTGATAATGTGACGTACACGTGTTGTGAACCACTTCAATCATGCTCCCAAATTGCTTTGAAAGGGATGGAAGTGTGACTTGAGAATGGCAAGTCGGAAGAAGAGTCATAAGTGTAATATTTTGTACAAGAATTTATCACCCGCAAGTCTTGATCAGAGAAAAAAAGACAACCCAAAGCGCTAAACGCAAAATCACCCCAGAAAAGATTCTAATTATTGTTTCGTGTTTCCATTATCTGACATTAGGATGATTTATTTTTTAATTCACAGTACGATATCGCTACTATTCCTTCATAACTCTGGCTTTTCTGGTGAGAGTTCACACACAAATATTGCCCCACATGGCGATTTTGGGTGGTGTGGAGGTGAATATGGTGGGCTATAAAAATGAGAAACGACTATCCAGCCACCCCGAAAAAAGCTCTCACCATGTTAGTACCAGAGAAGCTCATGCCCAATATATATTCTCATCCATATCAATGTAATGTCGGTTAAATAAACTCTCCGAGTTTGCTGGAGTGTATGGCCATGTATACACACACATAATGTTTTATATATTTAGCACACCACTAGATAGACACTATATATGCGAGAAAAGCTCAACATTTTCCCGGGGCATCATCCGGTGCGAGAAAGATTTCCACTCCACCCTAAACTGACCCCATCGTGCCGGGGTTGGCAATAATTCATTGCAAAAACACACATATCATCATTTTATGCACTTGAAGCAATAAATATGAGGAATTATCAGGAAGTGTGGTGTGAGTTTGATAATGTTTTCTTCACCGCCACATTCTCTCCATACTCCCATGATCCAAATATAGGGAAATGGGAGTTAGGAACGCGTCTACTGTTATTAATACATGAAATATCAGATTTGCGAAATCAGAAAACCAAATAGGTATATTTAATCGCAATTTATACTAAGATCATTGAGATCTGCTTCATTTATTCCATGTCGAAGAGAATTCATCAAATTTAGACATGAATTGAACCTAAGCACATTCCATCAATTCCGCATTCTTTGTATTCTGATGGCTTTTCAGAAATATGCATGCAATATCTCTAATAACATTACTCACAATATTCTTATGGTTATATTTATCCCGCTCTGAACGAAAATTTCTAAATTTACTCTTCAAAACACAGATTTTCATAACATTCGTCTTCAAATTTGATAGAACATCCAGCTCAAAGTTATAGATAATTTTTCCTCTTTGTCAAACACATTTTAGAAATACATTGAATGTGACAGAGGAGAAACTTATGCAATCAGAAGCAGTGTGAATGTTCCAATTGGTGATATTTCCTGCCAGAAAACTTCCCTCTTATCTAATACACTTCTTTCCCACAGAATTCACCCACTTTTTGCCAACACTCCCCAACCATGCTGGAGTTCTGTTGGAGTATAATCTAACAAATGGCTTATGTGGCCCCTAATAAATCAATATTATGTTTCACATCATCACTTTGGATAGATATAAAAGTGTGTGCGTGTGTGTGTGTCGATGTTTAAGAAAAACATCCCTTCAGTGAAATTGATAGGAAATTGATTTTTCAGCAATACACACACAGATACACACATTCATTGACTTTGTCTTAAAGGTGAAGAATCAATGATGGGAAGATTACAAGAATTGGGCATGCGAAGGAAGGAGAAAAAAACATAAGCACTTTTGCACCATAAACTCTTTTTCTACACTTCTTGGCCAGTGACTCTCCAACCCTTGAGTTCTCTCTCTCTCTCTCGCTCTCTGTCTCTCCCTCGATAGAAAAGCCATTATCATTGTCATCGTGTATATTTGTGGATCATATTGAAGGCAAACCCATTGACGCACATTGCTTTAGTCAATATCAGAAGTGGAGGTCCACCCCAAAGAAAACGAGAAGGAATTCCCAGTCCACAAACAACAAGCCGTATAATGCAAGTATTAGTTTCACAACACGACACTGGCGAAGAGAATGGGTGGTGAGAATGTTAGAAAACGCCTTTGATGGTGGGTTCAAATGTGATGATGATAGAGTTAAAATAAGGGACATCATCAATCACAATGACGCGTCATAATGACTGATACTTGATACAAATAGACAACAACTCTGAGCATCATCCCGCCATTCTTGTACATTGTTAGCAAACACACAATTCTCCCCAATCATTTCTAGAAATTCACACACGCAAATGGAGTCCAAATTTACCACACAAAGTGAGTTTATGTGGAGGTTTTTAATAGTTCAATAAATCAGAAATCATGGAATTTTCCCAAAATGTCGGGAAGCAAGCAAAGTCGCAATGATAATAATAATAAGAATCAAGATACATATCAAAACTCATTTAGGAAAGTGTCAGTGAAG